CTGATTGAGATTCAGGGCATAGAAGGAAGATTACAAATGACAGAGCAATAGACATATGCATAATTTATTACACAGTAGAGAATTCACTGACCTGCTTGTTGTTTCTTCGCATAAATTGAGAAGATGGGTTGGTTGTGCTATGTTGGATCTTCTGTGGTCTGCCACAACTGTAAAGATGGTAGTGCAGGAATATCACCTTTGGATGGTTGTGTTGCTGGAAGATGGTTGACTAGGGCTGAAATGGCAAGTGAAGCCAAGAGAGCTCACCTGAGATTGAGAAGTTTTGGGCTCCCTCAAGGAAAAATAATTATTTTCCCTCTTAAGCTTAGCAGTCCTGGAGATCAGAGAGTGCCTCCTGGGAGTTGGAGGATAAGCTAAAATGCAGCTTGCTTGAGTAAGTGGTTGTATTTTCTGTATGGCAGGTGGATGCCTGCTGTGAAGGAGGGAGAAAAAAGGCTAAAAATGGAAGCAGAGACTAGGACAAGGAGGACAGTGGACAAGGATGATGTGTTTAGAGGGCACCCAGGCAGAATGTGAAGCTCTGAAAGCTCAATGCAGCGTGTCTCCCCTTGTGTTCAAAGGGCCATTTGCTCTTCAGCTGTTGAAGTGCTGAAGTGTCTAATGTTAGTGGTCAGGGCTGCTGGGTGGAAATAATTTACTGGGGAAGTTTTGTTTCTGGGGAAACAAAGCTTTTGTGTCATAAATTGAAGTCCTAAAGCACGGGGGACAGGTCTGGCTTTCTTTGGATAAAATCTTACAAAAATGCTGAGCCCTCTTGCTGCCGTTTCCCCCTTTCGTTCTCTCTCGCGTGCCATTTGCATGATCTACAATCTTAGCCAAAGAGTCCCTCCAACTTTTTTTGTGTAATGCTGCAAGTTTGTAAGCAAACGGGATAAGCAAATGAGAAGCCCAGAAGCACTGCTCAGGAATGTGAAGTATTTCGAAGTGGCTCTTTCTAGAAGTGAAGCAGATTCTTTCTGTGTGGATCACGGCTTCTCTTGCATGGAGAAACTTTCCTCCCTTTCCTTGAACCAGTGGTGGGAGGCCCCGTGGGGAAAGAGGTCCACCTCTCACCTATTTCCCTCATTGTACTCTCATAGCTCTGCACCTCACTCCTGCTTCATTGTGCCACTTTTATTCAAATAGTCCGTAAGAGCAACGAGTAAAATACCAACTCCTATGTGCTTAGGGTCTCTGGAGGAGGTACATGCCATCTTTGGAGTCACAATACAACCCTATACGCTGCCTCTCTAAACAGCCATAGAAGCAGCTGCATTTACAATGTCCTTCTGCCTGACCTCGAGTTTTATTTCCCTTGTGACTATCCCAGATTCACTGTTAAGCACTGTTACTCCTGGGACACTTTATGTTCCAGGAGGGACAGCTATAAATTAAAGCCAACTTCATTTATTCCACTGGAGACATTATCCCTTTAGGGAGAGTTGCTAGAGGTGGTAAATAGTGCTTTTCCCAACATCCCAGGATTGTCCGATTAACTAATAGGAAGGCTGTGTTCAATTTGGCTTCTTGGCCCCGGGGAGGAGGACAGCAAGGGAGGGGTGAGTGCCGCTTCTCTGCCAGCTCTGTCCAGACTTAGGTGGCGGTGTTTCACAGGGAGACTCTGGAAGGAGTAACCTTGATCCTGGAAGTTTGCTTTACCTGTGAGGTTTCCAGAATGTATTTTGGGATTGAAATTTCCAGTTTGTTGAAAATGATGATGGTTCTTTTGAGGTTTGCCCCAGCAAGTGTAGCCTGTGGTGTGTTGCCGTTGTTCCCTTGGTTCCCCATAGTGAGAGGGAACCTCAGTAACAGAGCAGGTCGTCACAGATGGTGCACTTTGGGGCCCCTGATAAGAATCCTTGCTGGGTTTGTTAGCTTGGGCCCTCTGCAAGACCTGATGCTGCCAGGAGCAGGCAGTGGCCAGAGCTGGCAGGCAGAAGCAG